CAGTTGCTGCACTTTCTGCACTTGATGCTGGGTTTGCTGCTGCCGCTCTCTGCTGACGTCGCCTCCAATTAAAATACACCTGGCGTTTTTGCTGCCACGGAGTTCCTTAAGCTATTTTCTCGCAACAGCGCCACAGAGCTGCTTGCGTCTACAGCGCTCGACGGAACCTGTCTTGGTGTGTGTTGCTTCCTGTGTCTTCTATTCGCCAAAGACGTGATGCGGGGGTTTCAGGTCGAGTTTATCACCGCTGAAGGAACTCCGGAGGCCGGAATCGACGGAGGCGGCCTGCTTAAGGAGCTCATAGTACGCACCAGCAGCAGCAAGCACCATCGCGGCAGTGGCGGGGGCAGCAGCGCCTTCCACGGTTGTCTCTATCTATCGCTGTGTATTTGTGTGTATGCATGTATTTTGTGTTTGTAGATGGGTTTGCGTGTGCTGTTCAAGCTCCTCCTTTCCTTTTTTTCATGCAACTTGTGTTGCTTCTCAGATATATTTGCTCACGTGTCTTCTGTGTAGGGTTTTTTCTTTTTTTTGCTGCATCTGCTGCTGCTACTTTTGCTTATCTGCTAGTTCTACCATCGCATCCTCACTTGGGTCTGTGCTCCTACATTGCTGCTGCTTGAGAGTTCCTTTTTGCTGTTGCAGTAGCCGTTGTTGCTGCCTTGGCTGATACAGGTGGAGCTTTCTCGGCGAGCATTCGACCCTGCCTACGGCCTTTTCCACGTAGGTCTATTCTGGCTGTTTGCCTCATCTATCCTTCTGCCTGCCCTCCAGTCTGTTCCAGCCTTTACCAGCCTGCCTACAGCCCTTGCAGAAAACGGGTGCAGAAGCAGCTACCCTGTGTCAATGAATAGATCAATATCGTGCGCCTGCAGAGCTGCCCCGATAATTCTCTCTTTCCAAATCCCTCCGTCGAGCTTCTCCACCCAAACTTCGCCAACTTGTTTCTCGCAATAGGAAGGCTTGTTGGCAAGGTACTGCTGTTGCTTCAACCGGTGTTCATGCCGCTGCTGCTGCCGTTATCGGTGTTCGTGGTGGTGCTGCTGTCACTATTGCTGCAGTGAAGAATCTTTGGATGAAGTTGCGTCGGCTGCCGCTGCGTCTGGTTGCTGCTTTTGCCGATTTTTTTGTTGCATAGTGTAGTGCCTGCTGCCAGCCCCGGTGCGCGCTTTAGAATGACTGGCCGCGCGTTACTAAGTGCCCTTGAATTGTTTGGAGGTAACAGAAGGGAAGTGTGTTTCTTAGAAAACCAAGGGAAGTTTAGCCGGGAAATTAGCGTCGAAGGAACTGTGCTTGGGGAATTTTTGTGGTAGCAGCGTGAAAAATTGTGGAGACGAATTAAGCTGCCTGGAAGGGCAGAAACTAGCGAAGTAGAGAGGGAGCAGAAGTGGCTGACGAAACGACCCTTAGTTGATTTTTTTTCATTTCATTGTTCACGCTTGTACCTCACAACAGGCTGTGTTTGAGGGAGTGCTTATTGAGCCTCAACTGAACCGCGTCTTCCTTAAGTTGTTACTGCGCCGGCCCTGCCGCCTCGACGATATCAAGAGCCTAGACCCTTCTGTACACCGCAGCCTCATGCTGCTGAAGAAATACCCGGGAGATGCTGCAGAGCTGTCCCTGACATTTTCTGTCATGCGCTCGGAGTTCGGTAGCCAGGAGGAGGTGGATCTGATTCCAAATGGTTGCAATATCCCCGTCACCAAGTATGCTAGTGTTGCTGCCGCTACAACTGTTACGAGTTTCGTGCTGCGATTACTTCGAATGCTACCGCTATTTTCTTTTCTGTCGCTGTTGCGCCAACGGTTGTTTTGTTATTTTTCTTTGAGCGGCGCTGTGGTTTACGCGCTGTCGTTGTCCGCGGCGGCTGCATCGTTTCACTGTGCTTTTTTCCTTACCACGTGCGTCACCTGACCTGCATAGCTGCGTATCATCGACGCTTGGTGAAAGTTGCTCCTGTTTCTGCTACATTGTGTGTGTCTGTCTCTACGTGTACTCGGCTTCTCATCCGTAGGGCGGTTCATTTGGGTTTCGTGGTTGCTGCACACTTTTATGCTTTACTGCTCAGCGCTTCCAAGCTGCGATACGTGCAGCTTATGTCAGACTACAAGTGTGTCAAACAAATACAGCAGCAAACTCAGGCCTTTCTTCGTGGCCTCAGCGACGTCGTACCACTGCAGTGGCTTCAAATGTTTTCTGCCGAAGAGCTGCAGCATCTTGTTAGCGGCACCAGCGAGGGTATCACATCGTCGCACTATTGCAGCTAGCCAGACCTGCTTACTTAAATAGCCGACTACATCACTAACTAACTAGCAGCCAACTATATGCCCACTGATTGCTTGCTCGTTCGATTTGCAGCTGTCGTCTCTGAAAACTCTCGTTTTTTCCTCTTTTTCATGCTTCTTCCGATCTCTTCCTCCATTTTAGTAGCCCAGATCTAACTGTTCGTTTTATTTACTGCGTTGTCCTACAGGCTTTGATGTGGAAGACTTGCGTTCCCATGCCTCTTACAGCGGCGGCTTTTCGGAGACTAGCCCTCAAGTTTTGTGGCTTTGGGAGCTCCTTGTGAGTCGCTACCAGCGGATGGGTTTTATTGTTTCTATCTGTGTATTGGCTTGCCCACTGCCTGCAGTGCAAGGAAAAAGATTCAAGGGATCTTTCACCGTGAACTGTGTAGCTCTGTAATCCGCATATGTTGTGTCGCTGTGACACCAACATTTTCGTGGTATTTTTAACTTCCTTGCTGTGCCTCAGTCATCATTGCTTGGTCGTATCATTTACCTGTTTCTTGCATTAGTACAGGCATAGTTGGGGTGCACACACATATTTGAAAAATGTTAGTGACTCTCTTAGTCGGCTGCTTTGTGCTGGTTTCGCGCAGAGTGGAATGGCAGACAGTGAACGCAGCAGTTTCTTGATGTTCGTGACATCTTGCTCGCGCGCACCTCTACGAGGATTCGGCTCGCTATCTCCCCCTTTCACCATTCATAGGGTACCAGACACGTCCCGTTTGCCCACAAGCAGTACTTGCGTAAATCTATTTAAGCTTCCTGCCTATGCGACGCGACAAGATCTGTGGGACAAAGTCCGAGGAGCCATTGGGGGAACCCGCGGCTTCGGTCTTAGCTAACTACGAGACTCTTAGCGTCCTGGCTAGCGGAACAGGCTAAAGCACTTTGACTGTGCGACCTGTCCTTGAGCATTCGTTGTCTGGAATTTGGGCTGTATACAACAGCATAGCGGTTTCCTCATTTATTTGAGGCCTCTTTTTAGAGAGGAATGAGCGCAGAGATGTGGAATGACATGGGTCCAGCCAGCTCTACCCACCGGCCAAGTGCAGCAGGCTCGCTGTGACGGCTCAGTCTTCCGAACTGCGTGCCTTTGGTTGTGCTTCTCCGCAATATTCTGATTCGCTTTGACACGTCAGTAAATGGATGGCGCCTATTTCCTTGACCAGCATCTAGCCAGAAGGCTGTCAGCTTCGTTTCACCTGGGTCGGGAGGATATATTTTCCAAGTGTATTGGTCTTTGTACGGGCAGTTAGTGTACAACGGTGGCTTCTTTGTGCTGCTTGAAGGTCCTAGAATACATTAACGCGGCCTGAACACGCGTTTAGTTGCTCAAGGGACCACTTTTTTCCCAAAAAGAGTCTTCTGCGGTCCGCAAGCAGGCGATCTGTGCAACTTTAGTGACCAATGCCAGCAACCAGCAGCAGCCTGTGAGCTCTTTAGGGCTTCCAAGTTTATGCTCTGGGTCCTTCACTATTCTCCGAACAGCATTCCATTCGTCCTTGCCGGAAACTAGATACTTTTCATCTAATAAGTGAACTACGGCGTGATCCTTTACACTGTGCTACGCGTTAACGGCAGAGTTAGCTCCGGACAGAAGTGAGATGTACATACTTTGAAATGCAGATGTGTGGATGGTTAAGTATCGCAGTATTTCAGTGCGGCTACTTCCTGTACATACACTTGGCTGCCATTCATTAAAGACGCCTGTGCTTACGGTTAAGCTGCCCATTGGTTATTTTGGGGGGCATTCGACCAAGAAGATGCTATTTCTATAGGCCCATCGAAATAACTACGACTGATTATCAGGTATTATGATTTAATGAAGATGCTCTGCCTCCGCCTAGTCAACTTCCGCGGCGCCAGCGACAGATGCTGGGAGCCATGGGCCAATCTGCGCTGGGCCCATAACGTAGAAACTTGTCCACGCAAGTAAGTCCCTGGAAAAGCATTTGAATGGGAAAATTCAATTAGCGTCCTTCTATATTTGAGAGGCTGCTTAATGCTACTTGCAGCGTGATGTGCTGGGCATTGGCTAGACATGTGCAGGTGAAGTGTTGGGCTGCTATTGAAAGGCCTCATTTACTGACCCATTGGACGAAGCAGGGGTCCCCCAAAACACTGATTAAAGCATTTAAACGCATATCAAAAAACTGAAATTTAACAACGGCAAATATGTTCCGACTGCGGTGAAAGCCCCCACAGCAGTACTAGGTACTAGTGGAGGATTACGTGAAAAAGGCAACCGTATGCACACAACACTTCACGGGCATTTCCCAATATCCAGAAAATTGATTTACTCAATACCCAGTCCAAGGGAAATGCTTATCAAAGAAAAGCGTCAAAAGATGCAAACAGGGCCACAATGAGGAGTCGAGTGGTCCTTGGGAGGTCTGCGTGGAATATTCCAGCCACCCCCTTGTCGTGCAAGGACTGCAACAGGAGCGATGCGTGCGCCTATCATTCGATAGTTTAGCAAGACTTATTCCAAATATTTGCATTGCCCTCATTTTTAGAACAAGCACAGCAGCACGGGCTGCTGATGCAGCGGGAAAAATAGAGTCTCGTCAGTCAGCCGTTTGCACCCCAGTGTCATTGTGGGTCGGGACCTCTTACCCCTCCCACTCCGCCTGAGACTCTTCTCGCCTTCTTACCTTGAAATTCCGTTAAATTATTTATTTCTTATCAGGTTATTAGGCTGTTCTTCCAAGAATGAGAGAGAAGCTTGCGCTCATCGCCGCCTTACAGGCCTTCTTGGCCTGCGCAGATCCTGGAGTGGTTCTATCGAGCGGCGTTTCACAAGATCCCATCGATCTGTCCTTCCCTCTTGTGCAAGAAAAACTAAATCACAGTGCAGTATCATATGAATATGTGGGCGCTCCTAGCATCAACGGATCCCAGGGATTTAGACTCAAGGTGATGCATGTCTTCATTGCACTGACGGGCGTGATGGCGCTGTTATTCCTCGTCATCCATTGTTTTAGCAAGCTCAAGGGTGACGAATTAACCGGCCGCAAGCTTGCAATTGGGGGTTCTTGCGGGCCAGACGGAGAAGAAGAGAGTACAGCAGGCAGCGCATCAGGCAAAAGGCCTAGAGGTGGAGATGGAAATACTGCTACCTCAGGACAAGGTCCACATCCTCCTCTAAACAGTAGAGACGCCCCAAATCCTTCCCCGCAGAGTGATAGGGGCCAGCCCAGCAAGCCGACGTCACCATCTGCGGCGGGTCCACAGCTTTCGTCTTCGAACTTTGGAAATCCATCAAAAAGACAGCGTCCAGGTTTTATGCAAGGGCCTCTCCCCTGGACTGGGGGCCAAAAGACTCCTCGAAAAGTTCTCTTTCAAATTCCAGAACCCACTGGACCCCCAGTTCCAATGGATGTCGACCAAGAACACGCCGACCCAGAAAAGGAAGAGAAGGGGGACACCGAGGTCCCAATGGAAGTTGACGACCCGCGTTCGCAACTTCCACCAACCCCTTCTTCACCTTCTGCGCCACAGGTGCCAAATCCTAGGCAGAGGTTGCCTCATGGTACCAGATCAAGGCTGCCTAAGCCTCCACCACCTCCCAGGAGTTCATCCCTGCCTTCACCTCCAAAAGGAGCCGGACAATTACCCAGTCACTTTGGTGCTCCAGCCCCTGGGGAAAATTCACCACAATTACCCTCCCGTTGGCCGCCTGTAATGGGAACAACATTTCCATCGTCTTCATCTGGAATGTTTCCGCCCCCACCGTCGTCTCCTATCCCACCCTCATTCCCTCCGCCGCAAAATCAACCAGGGCCTCCCCTCGATGTACCCCCATTCCCATCTTCCACTTCATCAGGACACAGCCCGCTACAGTCGCATGCAAATTTCCCGCCTCCACGGCCATTTCCCCCGGCGGGAGGTCCACCAGCATCGTTTCCAGCTTACAGCTCCTCAGCCTCACAGTCTCCCCCGTCAGCGCAAGCTCCGCCATTATCTTCCGCAAGTCCACAGATTCCTCCCGCACCGCCGTTGCCTCCAACACACACTCCACCATCATCTTCCTCACCACAGATTCCTCCCGCACCGCCGTTGCCTCCAACACACACTCCACCATCATCTTCCTCACCACAGATTCCTCCCGCACCGCCGTTGCCTTCATCATACACTCCACCATCATCTTCCTCACGTTCACCGATTCCTCCCGCACCGCCGTTGCCTTCAACACCATTATCTTCCTTACGTTCACCGCATCCTCCCAAATATCCGTCTCCTCCTTCATACACTCCACCACAAAATTCCTCACGTTCACCGGGTCCTCCCACATATCCGTTTCCTTCACACACTCCACCATCATCTTCCTCACGTTCACCGATTCCTCCCGCACCCTCGTTGCCTTCATCACACACTCCACCATCATCTTCCTCACCACAGATTCCTCCCGCACCGCCATTGCCTGCATCAGAGACTCCAACAACGACCTCGCGTTTCCGTAATCCGACCCCAGGACGGCATCATTCACCACTGACTCCGCCCTCATCGACCTCACGTTTGGTACCACCACATGGGCCGTCATACCCAACAAGTGGTGGTCAGGGCTCGTCACCCATGAAGGTAACACCACCAAATCCCAATGCCTTAAAGGAGGAACTGCTTAAAGCAGTGGGCCGCATGCAAAGAGGGGGTCATCGTGCTCCTCGCGTTGGCGCGGGTGGCGAACGAGCTCGTCGCCGGCTGGGAAGTACACCGCAGCGAGATGCTGAAGGGCCATTTCCGCCACCTCTAGGCGTTTTCCCAATCTGGAAAACACCAAGCCCTGACATAGAAAAACCAAGTGTCTCCACCCCCCCTCCTCCACCAAAACAGCAGCAGCAGCGAAAAATGTTTGGACCTGACGCTCCATCACATGGATCGGCCGAGAGCCTACGCGTGCGCCTCTTTGGAAGCCCAAAGACCCCCCCTGGCATACTACGTTCACAAGGTGGTTCTCCTGGGCCGCGCAGCCCTTCTACGAGGCAGATGCACAGTCCATCCTCAAGTCCACAACCTGGGCCTTCCAAAGACCACGGACACAGCCCTTCCCCATTCCCCCAGAAAGGCCCTGCTTCACGTCCCTTCGGAAGTTCTCCGGGGAAGCATACGCAGAGCCCGTCTTCTCGTCCCGAACCTCCTCCTGAATCCCCTCGACGCGCCAGCTCTTTTCGCGTCAGGTTTGGTCCTTCCCCAGGCCCCCTCTCTGCTTGGCTTCGCGGTGACAGAGAAAATGGGCATCCCACACGTACGCTTTCTTTACGTTTGGGCAATTCTGCCTCTGGCATTGGCACTTTCCGCCTAGCTCCTCCAAAGTCGCCTGGAAACCAGCAAAGCCCTCCCCCAAATGCGCAGCCCAGCTCTTCTGAAGGCCCGCAACCTACCACTCCTAGGCACCCCGGACCCCAACCTTGGTCACAGCCTGGATCTTCTCAAAAACCAAAGCGCGAAGGAAGACATACTGGTAGTCCGGGATCAGGATCTTTCTCTCCTCCAGAAAGAGGCCAGGACGACGAGGGTGACGGTGGGTTTGATACCTAGAGGCCACGGCTTAGCAAAGCACTTCAACCGGGCGCCGATGTTTCGCTAGCCTCTAGGATTGCTTGGTGGCAAACAAAGACGACTACTAAGGAAAAATTAAGAGCTCTAAGGCCCTCAATGTGCGAAGCGCAAAGAGGATCCGCGTCTTGCTTTCCCTCAAAGGTACAAACAGATTCAGCGCTGGTTGGAGAACTCTCGTCTCTCATCTAAAGTGAAATACCGACAGAACCACGCGCGAATCTCCACAGTGAGATGTGTTGAGTCATTCGTAAGATCTGCACCTTCAGGGGAGTATCACAGTAACTGGAGCCACTTCACTGAACTGCAGGATCAATAGGGAATTGAAAAACAGAAGACATGTGCGGCACGGCACCACGCAACGAGTCCGTGCCCAACTAAACCGCTAGCCACCTGCACTAGTCTCTGAAGTTCTACTCCTATGCACTTCTGTGTATTTCTTCGTGGTCAAAGCCTAGGCACGTACTCTTTCAGCTCTTCTTGATCTCCTCAAATGCTATTTGTAGTATGCTGGCTTGCTTTTATCGAAGTTTCTTCCGCAGTGATATATGGTACCGAGGCGTGTTCCACTAGGAGCGTGAACAATTTGTTCCTCGTGTTTGTCTGTGAGCGGGCCTGCTAATGCTAAAAAATTAAAAAACTAGGGGAAGTGCAACCTGGTTTTCGTGCACTGGTTGTGGCGCTGCGCGAATGAATACCGAGGAACATCTCACAACACAAGCTCACTCAGCCTTGAAGCAACGCATTTGTCAGACGAACAAATAGAGGGAGTTTTATTCTCCCAGTGGTAGGGCTCTATTCTCGCAAGGTCCCAAGGATAGCAAGCGATTCGTATCTGCACACTACTTCTGCTACCTGTTGCGACAGGTAGACGTACGCCGTCTGTCACCTTTGAAATTTTGAAAGCCTACCAATGTTCCTCAATATGCTAGACTTTACATTTTTAAATGCATTTTGTGCCTTCTCAGAGCGAGCATCGTTTTTCCTTCTAATTAGGAGCGCCTCCTTTATTCAGAAATAAGACGCAGTTTTTAATTAATTTCAGGGGGAAGTTAAGACAGCACAGCTTGTTTTCTTTCAAGTCATCGCCCTGCTCGCCTATGGCTTGTGAGTACCAGAGGGCCACTGGTCCACTCGCACATGAAGTAATTCAGCAAGCCGCATCATTGCGCTTTGCGATCGTATTATTCTGCACAAAAGCTAGCGGAATAGCGAGGCTGCCCTGTGCGCACTTCGGTTCGACCGTTCCTAGGGACGGCAGTCATCGGAATTTCACCTTAGGGAGAGGCTGCTTCGAAGACTTGTGCTCATCTATGTTATTTGGTGCCCTGCTGGATGAATACAATGTGCACGTGGAAGGATTGGCAGCAGCCCAGTAAAGACGAAAAGTTGCAATTCGATGGATTGAAAATGAGCTGTACTCCAGCAAGATGCGCCCGAGAAAGGGCTTATTTGGTCCTGTGCGGCATCTTCCATGAAAAACTATTTATAGTGACACGGACGTGTCGCAAATAATGGTATTTATCGCCGGACCCCAGGGATTGCTTAGGATTCTGGCTCGTCTCTGCGGCATCTGGGCTGATATGCAGCCAAGCCTTTTCATGGCCTTCAGGCTAAGTATCCGCCTTGCAGCCCTGAAAGGGGCTAACTTGAGCTAATATCGGAATAAGAAGGCCATAAGACGCGGCTTTAAGTTGGCCCCTATTGTCTTCACTGCAGCTATCAGCAGAAGTACAAACTCTAGATGTGGGCTTGTGCTAGCTGTGTGCCTTCTCCCTACTATGCGCAGCATTCAAGCTTCCGTGGCACCGCAGCTCATGCTTGTAAGCGGAATGTAAATAAAAAAACCTTGGACAAGATTTGTCTGCGCCCAAACAATTTAAAGAAGAAATCCTTCTAGAGGAAACTCTCTCACCTACACAACCGCTTAACGCACGGTCAGAGCATCCAATCAATTAGTCATGCATAGCCTGCCATAATGTCGTGGAAGTGATGAACGAAGTAAGGCTATACGCCTGTGATGAAATCACGTTATGGCTGAAGGTATGCAAAGTTCGATTCTTTTTGTGTGATATAGGAGCTTCTGTAAGAGCTCGGCCGTGCATAGGCTCCCCTGAAACTCGAAGGTTTCATTAAGGATGCATCTGCTGAGGAAACAGTAAAAATGATTATAGATTCTGACAGAGAATCCTTCCTGTGTTAAAAGTAGCCAGCTTTCTACTTACACCGGCTGAAGCTTCAACCACAGTGGTACAAACTTCTGCAGGTGAAGTCAGTGTAAGGGTGCGACGGCCCAGCCACGGGAAAAATAAAACAACGAAGTTAAAGAAAATAAAGATATGTAGGATATTTCAATAAAAAATTTGCAGCTGTAGAACAAACTGACAGCAGCAACAGAATCAACATCAGCAGCTCGAGGCGGGTGCTACTGTAGCAACAACACGTACAATCATATAGGAGGGGGTGTGCCCCTTTGTGGTTTCCGGTGTTTGTCTTCTTTTTATCTTTTTATCTTGGGTTTCCTTGTCATTTGGTCCTCTCCCGAGTCCGTTTCGGCCTCGAGCCGCAGCAGCACCACCCAGGAAGTGTTGTTCCCCGTCCGCGCCCTCCAGCAGCCTTCACTGCTTTTTCAGTGCATCCCCGGAAGCTTTTTTTTAGTTGTCTCACTTTATTTTGTCAAAATGAACGGATTCGTAAGCCGCCTGTTCTCTTTACCCTATTTGTCCCCCCTGTGGCTCCCCGCAATCACGATCTAACAACCCCCAGAGCCGCAGCCCGGCGTAGCGGTGTTTCTACTAACGGCTGCCGGCTCTTGGCTGAAACTTTGCTAGTACAGGCATGCGATTAGGCCAGGCTACACGATTCGTAGCGTTGTGTCAAGAGTTCGATGCCTGGGGATCAGGGTTTAGGGTTTTAACTTTGTGCTGAGGGTCATTGTCTTGCATGTACCAGATTGAACGGATGGATGAAAAGCGTAGGCAGCGCAATCTCAGGGATGATGCAGGCTCTTTTGGCGTGCTGGAACCCAAACAGAAGCAGCCGCATCAACTACAGCAGCATCAGCAGCAGCCCCAACAGCAGCAAAATGTAGAAGCAGCTGGACAAAGGGTCTCCTCCGTACTCCACTCA